GCATGTCAGGCTGAATACATTACACCAGCACATTCTGTCATCTCCCTCTGTGTTATCTGCCGAAGCTCACCGTGACTTTCTGGGGTCTTGGGCAGAGAACGGCCTTGCCCCAATGCCAACTCTTTCAGACTCTTCAATCAGATGTCAGACAGTGAATCCGGGTCTTCTGCATATATAAAAGATGCTGTTCTACTGAGCTGCGGCTCCTCCCTAAACAGAAATCGCTTGAGGAGTCTGAATTGCAAGAGGCATTTATCCCCCCCCCCCAGCTCATCAAGTTGCTTCTCTGTCTTCCTTTTCCTAGAAAGAAGGAAAGGGCCAGTGATTGATTGTCTGCAGGCTACAGCAGTGGTGCCTTCCCTCTCCCACAGACTGAACACAACCAGTCCCATTGATGTGGGGTTAGCTCCAAAAGCCCTGAGCATGAGAAAGTCTGACTCCTTGCTTGTGGCCTTCTGGCTGCCCCCTGTTTAGGGTTGCCAAGTCCATCTTCCACCCCCAGCGGGGGACTTTGGGGGCGTTCCTGGAGGGGGCGGGGCATCGGGCTTGGGAGGAAACACGGGTTCCACACACTTAAAGGGAGAGAGAGGGGTGGCTGTGGGTGTTGGGGGCGGGGCTTCCCCCACTGGCCATCTGGCCGGCGGTGGGTAGAACCCCCCCAAAAAATGGGGGACCCCTGGCAAACCGGGGGGGGTTGGCAACCCTACCCCTGATGGAAACAGGAAACTGGTCTCGGTGGACTTTTGGTTTGATCCAGCAGGGCTCCTGCTCAACTGAAGACTGCATGGCTGTATGTCTCCGTGGCCTGTTCCACGCTGGATCTGGGGTCTTAAAGTCCTCTCACACAGCTGATGGAATGGGCTGTGCCACAGCAGCCGTAGGGGGGGAGGGTGACACTTTCAATGCCCCCGCGTCAAAACTCTCTGCAGATTAAAATAAAAGGAATACCCCGGGGAAAGGTCAGACTTAGCACATGGACCTTTTCTCCTTGCGGGGAATCATTCAGAGAAAGAGGTCTGGGAAAGGTGAGCCCTCTGCAGCCTGAAAGGGGGCCGCCTGCTCTCTGACCTCAGCACTCTGCCGGCTCATTCCTCTGTAGGAGTCGTAGACCAGGCCAGAAACCGGGGACAGGCAACCAGTGTTCCCTCTAAGCTGAGTTAGTGTGAGCTAGTTCACAGTTTTTTAGCCTCCGGCTCACACATTTCTGTCCTGGCTCAGGAAGGATGTCTCCAGAACAAACTAACTTATGCATTAGCCAAAGGGCTCACTCGCAACTTTAATGCCAGTCACTCACAAAGTAGAATTTTTGCTCACAAGACTCCACAGCTTAGAAGGAACATTGCGGGCACCCTGTCTGTCGGGCCCAAGCGCCAGAGGGAAAAGGTCCACCTGTGAAGATGTTGGGAAGAAGAGGGGGAGTGTGGCAGGGGAGATGGGGGGGGTTTCCCTGCACCGGGCACTCTGGGCTGGATCCAACCAACCTTTCTGCTGGAGAAAATGAGAAGCAGAGACGCTTTCCCCACAAGGTCTGCGCTTGGCATCATGGGGCCGACATGAACAAAAGCCTTGCCTGACAGGGGCTGCACAGCGGGAGGGGCAGGGCTCTTTGTGTAGCAGGAACTCCTTTGCATGTTAAGCGACAATCCCCTCATGTAGCCAGTCGTGCAAGAGCTTACAGTAGCCCCTGTGAGAAGAGCTCTGTAAGCTCTTGGAGGATTGGCTACATCAGGGGTGTGTGGCCTAATATGCAAAGGAGTTCCTGCTACACAAAGAGCCCTGGGAGGGGACCCACAAGTGGGGAAGGTGGCTGGATCCATCCACCTGGCAGCCAGCCAGGCTCCAGTGGTGCTCCCAGCACCCCAAAGGCTGCCTTCAGGCCCTGCTGATGGTCGCCTGAGGCAACGCTGGCATCGGGGATCCCCCTTCACCTTCTCCTATCCTGCCAGTCCCAGCTTCTCTTGGGGCTTGTCCGTAGGCAGGATTTTGTGGCTTGTGGGGCAATTTTTTTTTCCTGGTGGGGCTGAAGTTCTCAGTGCAGAAAGAAAAGCCATTTAGCCAATAGCAAAGCTGTTACTAGGCTAGATCTCTAAATTGCAAGCTGTCAACCACCATAGAGGACAGTTCTCAGCCGCTGCAAGTTAATCACTTCTGCCAGCCTAAGCAACAGTTCTGAGAACAAGCTGGCAGGTGGGGGGTGATGACTTCTATAGTCAAGAAAGCTAACACTTATGTGGAAAAACTCCCTTAAAGGGGACCGGGTTCTTGACACAGAGTTAGGAGGGATCCTAGAGGTCACCTACTCCAACCCACTTGATCAGTACAGGAATTAGTCAACTACAGCACCCCACTCTGCTTAAAGGAGTGCACACCTTTATTTAAAAAAAATGTTTTTAAATGATCGGGGAAAAGGCATTTAAGGGAGAAATTCTCTTGGGGCTGTGCCTTTAAGAAAGGGGGCAGAGCCCCCCAAAAGCCCCTCCGAAGCTACGGGCCTGGGCCTGTCTCGGGAACTGCCCTTGTGCACCAGGAACAATCATCTGCTGTGCCTGTTTGGTACACAGGTTGCCTACCCCGTCGGGCTGCCAGCCATCAGGTGAGGCCGGGAGAGCCCCCAGAACTACAGCTGAGTGCCAAGCCACTGAGATCACTTGCCCTAGGGGAAATGGCTCCTCCCCAAACCCTGCCTTACCCAGGCTCCTTTCCCAGACCTCCAGGAACGCCCCAGCCCGAAGCCGGCGACCCTAGCGACCCCTGCCGGGGACTCTTTTGTGGGCAAAGGCACTGGGGACGAGAGTCTATTCTGTGTCCAGCAGTTCCGCCACCTGCTTGTTCACTCCCACCCCACAGTCCGCTAATCACCACTTGCTGTCGCCCTCTGCTCTTAGTCTCCACGCTCTCCCAGCTCTCTGACAGCGGGCAGACCCTCAGCGAAGACAGCGGCGTGGACCTCGGGGACGCCGAGCTGAGCACCAAAGGAGCCGACAGGAGCCGCCCACAAGGCCTGATCAAGGGCAGAAGCCCCCAGGAAGTGCTGAGGAGCGACGGGCAGGGAGAAACCATCCCCAAACCAGTAAGATGTTGCCAGGAACTCAGCAGACACAGGTGGCATGCGAGGAAGGGGAATGGAACCTCCCGGGGATGCTGTCAAAGTTCTTAGTCACATTTCTACCAGGATTGCTGAGCTCTGGATCGCTGGATCGCTGAAAGCCAGTTCGGTGTAGTGGTTAGGAGCACGAACTCTAATCTGGGAGAACCAGGTTTGATTCCGCACTCCTCCACATGCAGCTGCTGGTGTGACCTTGGGTAAGTCACAAGTTTTTTCAGAGCTGTTCTCTCAAGGGCAGTTCTTGAAAGAGCTCCCTCAGCCCCACCAACCTCACAGGGTGTCTGTTGTGGGGAGGGGAAGGGAAAGGAGAATGTAAGCCACTCTGAGACTCCTTCAGGTAGTGAAGGACGGGATATAAATCCAATCTCCTCCTCCTCCTCCTTCTCCTCTTCTTCATCCTTTTCCCAAATCAGAGCTGAAATATGAGAGCATCTTCCTTTCATGATTTCTTTTTTCCCCTAATTTTGCACAGAGTTGTTGTGCTCATGTGGTTTGCCTGTTTCTGTGTGTCGTTTTTGCTACAACTCTCTGCAGTCGGTGAGGCAGGGTGAAAGGGAGCCGGACCATTTCTGCTCCACGCCCTCCGTCAGTTCCACAACCATGACAAGGGAGATGGCTCCAAAGTCCTTTGTGTGCCAGTCGGGCTGCCTTCCAAGGCCGTTTCATGGTGCCATGGTTCCCTTTCCCCCCCCCCTCCCAACTTAGCCATGTTCAGTGTCCCCTCCAACTTTGTGTGTTAAGGGCTTGCCAGTCGCTTCCGACTTATGGTAACCCTATGAATTACTGACCTCCGAAGCAACCAATAGCTTGCTTTGGAAATCAGTCATTCATAGGGTCACCATAACAGCCTTGCTCAATTATGAAGGCCAGGGCTTCCTTGATTGAGTCAAGAAGAAGAAGAGGAAGAAGAGATTGGATTTATACCCCACCCTTCCCTTGGAGTCTCAGAGCGGCTTACAAACTCCTTTCCCTTCCCCTCCCCACAACAGACACCCTGTGAGGTGGGCGGGGCTGAGAGAGCTCTGACAGAAAGTGCTCTTTTTCAAGGACAGCTGTGCCAGAGCTTGTGACTGACCCAAGGTCACATCAGCAGGTGCAAGTGGAGGAGTGGGGAATCCAACCCGGTTCTCCCAGTTTAGAGTCCGTGCACTTAACCACTACACCAAATCCATCTCCTGTTGGGTCTTCCTTTTTTCCTGCTGCCTCTCCCTAGCATTACTGTCTTTGCCGGTGAGTCTTGTCTCTCATAACGTCACCACGGTACAATAGCCTCAGTTTAGTCATTTCAGCTTCTAGAGAGAGTTCAAGCTTGACCTGAACTGAGCCCACTGATGTGTCTTTCTGGTGGTCCACGGTGTCTGCAAGACTCTCCTCTAATACCACATTCCAAATGAAGCAACTGTCTTCCTCTCAGCTTTCTCCACTGTCCACCTTTCACACCCATACATAGTGATGGGGAATACTGTGGCATGAATTATCTTGATCTTGGCCACCAGCAACACACCCTTGCACTTAAGGGTCTTTTCTAGCTCCTTCAGGGCTGCCCTTCCCAGTTTTACTCTCCCGCTGATCTCTCAATTGCTGTCTCCCTTTTGGTTAATGATGTAGCCAAGGGATAGAAAATCTTGAACAATTCATCGTCAGCCTTAAAATTGTGTAATTCCCCTGCAGTCATTCACTTTTGTCTTCTTAATGTTCAGCTGTAATCCTGCTTTGGCATTTTCTGCTTTAACCTTTCTCAGTTGTCATTTCAAGCCCTCAATATTTTCTGACAGTAATGTGGTGTCACCGGCATATCTCAAATCTCCACCAATTTTCAATCCACCTTCATCTAAATGATCTAATCCAGTTTCCTTTATGATATATTCTGTGTATAGACTGAAGAGACAGGGAGATAAAGTACATCCTTTTCTAACACCTTTGCCAGTCTGAAGCCATTCTGTTTCTCCATACTTTAAAGCTTCCCTTCCTATCTCATAATTAAATTCTGGGTGGAAGCTAAAAAATGTTGATGATGAATTTGGCCACCAGAGGGCAGCATGGGTCCATGCTTCTACCAAACGAGACAATGGGCGATTCACACCTGCCTGGAATCCGAAGGTTTCGTCCTGCAGTTCCTGCCTCTTAATCTGCAGTGGCTGGCAACTGCTATATTTACTCAGTGGGTGAGGGAAATGCATTCTGTGCGTGCTCAGAAGTCCACTTTGTATTGTCTGCATGAAGTACCAGTGGGATACAGCAGTTACAACATTAAGTGTAGAGGCCTGGATTGTGTGAAGTAACAACTAAAGTGTCTCTAAGCACCTTGTACTAGGTGGTGAGAGGCAAATATACTCTGCACATGCTCAGAAGCAGCCTTGGACTAACTACTGTTTCCAAGGCCAAGCCTCCAATGCTAACCTGACCTCCATTATGCTGTATCTCAATGATTTTCCTGTTTGCTCCTGCAGCGAATCTGCAAAATCCTCTTAGTTCTGTTTCTTATTTTTAAATTTGTGTGTTTTATTTTGCTTCAGGTTTGGGGCTGAAATCCCAAGCTTGTTCATCAGGAAGGCAATCTCATTTAATATAGCCAAGCTTCCTTCCATTCATAGATCAGGCTGAGCAGGATAATCATTTGCCAAGGGAAGGTTACCCAGTAGGCTGGAGGGCCATGAAGGAATTTGAACTCAGATCTCCTCTATTTGTACCTGACACCTTCTAGCATGCTATCACACCATGCAGGATATCTCTTTTTCTCTTCTGCCTCCTACAATAGCCAGGCCTCCTGGAACCGACATCCCATCTGATCCGGGTGACAAAGACCGCACCAACCCTCGGAATCGCCATTGAGGGGGGAGCCAACACTCGGCAGCCCCTGCCTCGAATAGTGACCATACAGGTAAGAGAGGTGGAGGTCAGCTCTACTGATGAGTGAACTCCCTCCTCCAACATTGTATTTGGGCTGCTAGTTACAAGTCGCTAATTACAAATTACAAGCAAATGTGCATCTTGCTGTGCTGCATGGGAACTGTAGTGGGGGGGGGGGAGGCAGGCAGCTCTCTCAGCAATTGCACAGCCCTTTTGTGAGAATTGTTGGACTGCTGACCTGCAGATGGAACAGGACCATTATTCTGGGTCACTTTCAAATCCTCAACTCCTCTCTGGCTGTCAGAGAAGACAGGCAACTTCTTATGAAAACAGAGTAAGGGGAGCCGAAGTAATCATGTTCTGGAGTACATACCAACTGTGGCTTCTACCTTTGGCTTCCTGGTCTGATCAGTGCTTATTAAAGGTAAAGGTTTCCCTTGCTTGAAAACAAGTCAAATCCGACTCCAGGGGGCAGTGCTCATCTCCGTTTCCAAGCCAAAGAGCCAGCACTGTCCAAAGATGTTTCCGTGGTCATGTGGCCGGCATGACTAAACCTATTTATATACTTGCAATTTATTGCTTTTGAACTGCTAGGTTGGCAGGAGCTGGGGCCAGAGACGGGAGCTCACTCCGTCACATGGGACTAGGGTCTTGAACTGCCGAACTACAGACCTTCCGGTCTGCAGCTCAGCATCAACCTCTGAGCCACCATGGCCCACCAGTGCAGGGTCTCCTCAGTTCCTACTCGGGTGGTGTCTCTTGGGAAAACCCATGCTGTATCCCTGCAAAGCTGTGGGTTTTCCCAAACTGTGCCCCCCACCCCGCAGACTTTTTCAGGGAAATGGCATGAGAGTAAAGCTCCTTTTCCCATGCATACCACAGTCCTGATCCGAACAGGACAATGTTCCCTCTAAGCTGTAGAGTCCTGTGAGCAAAAATTCTACTTTGTGAGCTACTGGCATTAAAGTTGTGAGCAGGTGATTTGGCTACTGCATAAATTAGTGTGTTCTGGAGCCCTCCTTCCTGAGCCGAGACCAAAATGTGTGAGCCGGAGGCTAAAAAACTGTGAGCTATCTCACACTAACTCAGCTTAGAGGGAACACTGGTCACACCGCACACATGAGAACTGACAAGAACCCACAACTTACATCTCCCTGTTTTACATCTGATAAAGCCTGGGGACTTGTGTGTGATGTGTATTGTGTGAATCATTATTAATTCTACACTGAGTAAGAACTTCAGGTTAAGGGAACCTGACCAGTAATAAAAAGAAGCCATATGAGCAGAGACAATTCATATTACCTACTCTCATTATTTCGTCAGCATCACTAATTGGCTCTACCAATATTGGTTCTCTCTTGGGGTCCTCAACAGTTAGAAAAACTTCAAAGCAGTTTGGCAGCTACCCAGCCCACCACCGAATCCAGCCCATCCGCCGCCAACAATTGACCATTTCTCCTTTATAGCACTTGAAAGAAATCTGGAGGCAAACCAAATGCAAAGCTCATTAATTAACGGGACACGGTTGTGGGGAATACCAGGCTTCAAAGTGTAGCAAGCTCAGGTTCAGGGAGAGGCTGCCTGAAAGACAATGACTCACAACATTTTAAACACGTGCCTATTGAAACGTTGGGCCTGAAGGCTGAGAATTACGCATCTGAAGCCTCCTCGTGCGTGTTGTTGACTAATCGGTAGCACTGGCGATCGTAGGTGCTAATTTGCGCACCATCAGGCCACCGAATGCGGATCCCAACGGGAATGCTTTGCAGTCTTTCAGCTTTCATTGTGGGTGTATTTTTAAGAGAGGATGGGATGAAGAGGGAGGGATCTGAACCGAGGGCAAGCACGATAACTCTGAGCCAATGTCAGAACTGGCAGGGTCTGGAAGGATCACTGGGGCAGAGCAGCCACTGGTAACATCAACCCCACAGGCCAGAAAGTCAGTTTCAGGGGAGAAGTCAAAAATCAGGTAAATGCTCCTTAACTTCCTTTTCATGATGACTTAGAATACAGAAGGTTCCCCACTGGATCAGTCCAGTGGTCCATCTAGTGAGCCAGTTTGGTGTAGTGGTTAAGTGCGCGGAAGCTAATCTGGGAGAACCGGGTTTGATTCCCCACTCCTCCACTTGGCAGCTGCTGGATGACCTTGGGCAAGTCGTAGTTCTGACAAGAGCTGTCCTTGAAAGGGCAGTTTGTGTCAGAGTTCTCTCAGCCCCACCTACCTCACAGGGTGTCTGTTGTGGGGAGGGGAAGTGAAAGGAGATTGTAAGCCGCTCTAAGACACCTTTGGGTAGTGAAGGGCGGGGTGTCAATCCAATCTCTTCTTCTCCTTCTTCTAGTCCACAGTGGCCAACTAGTTGCCCTGGAGGGCCAACAAATAGGGCATAAAGGCTGAGACGTTCCCCTGATTTCGCCTCCTGGCACTAATTGTGGGAAGTTTACTGCCTCCAAATATGGAGGTTCCCTTTGGTCCTCAAGACTAGAAGCCATCAGGGGGCCTCTCCTCCGTGAAGTTGTCTGATCCCCCTTCAAAGCTGTCTGTGCTCGTGGCCATCCCTGCATTTTTCAAAAGCAACATTTCCATCCTGCCTTCCTGCCCTCACGAGGGCCACCAAAGCTGCCAAGACATTATAATAGATATAATAAAATCACATTTTAAAATCGTATAAAGCCAACCAAAACACACACACACCTTTAAGAGAATAAGAACAGAACTAAAATATATACAAAGACATCAAAACAATAATGAAAACATTGGCCAGGAAGAAGAGGTCACCGAGGGAATACCAAACGAAGCAAAAAGTCTTCCATTTCTATATCCACTGACTGTGAATTTTATGAATTAATTACTCAAGTGAAAAAAATATATCTTTTCATCTGTCCTGAATGTATTGCCCATCTGCTTGGGGGGGGGGGGGAATTTCCAATTCCTACTTTTTCCGTCCCCAAATCCCCATTTCTATTTGCCTCTTTTCTGTTTCCTCACGTGGAAATATCCATAAAATATAAAATGTCAGCATTCGCCAACCAGATTCATGCATCAATCAGTCCTCATTCTGCATATCTTATACACTGAAAGGATGGTGTGGTACCCATAAGGAGCTGGATCCAGTGGTGCGTGAGCTTAAAACAAAATGTGCTGAGCGCCGTTCGGCTTGCTCAGGCTGCATCGATTGCTGCCGCACTAAAACACTTTAATATAAATGTTTAACAAAATGTCAGTGTTCATATGGGAACGATGGAATGTAAAACAGATGGTTCGCGTGATTTCATTTAATTTGGGTCTGAAATTTGATTGGAAGAAAGACCTTCTGCTCAGCCCTGCACACGTGGAAAAGGTAGTAGGAGTTCAGTTGCTTTCGCTTAGCGAAAGCAGATGCCAAGGAGTAATTTTCGCATTTCTACTTCCGCAAGGACTGTTGTGCCTGTGGGAATTTCCCATGGGATCCAACCCAAATACCTTATCAGTTGCATATAAGACACACAGAGACAATACAAACTAATCTGCAAGACAGATAGCAAAAACGAGAAAACTAAACTAAGATAAGCAAATATCCAGATTTAGAAACAAATAGAAACAGAAATAATATAGGGTACACTTGGACATCCCAAGTTCCTATGCGGAAAGTCCAGTTAATATCTCCTCACTTAGGTTTTACCACTGAAATATACTGGTTCGAGACACATTTAGTGATCAGCTCATAGTTTATTAGTGATTTCAGCTTAACTCTAAGACAACTCTAGCAGGGCCGGAGCTCTGCTTATATGCATGCAAAACACCACACCCCCCACACACAAACACTACCCAGGGTGCTGCATGAGTGAGCTCCCGTCTCTAGTTCCAGCTCCAGCCAACCTAGCTGTTCAAAAACAAGAAATTGCAAGTAGATAAATAGGTACCACTTCGGTGGGAAGGTAACAGCGTTCCGTGTGCCTTGGTGTTTAGTCATGCCGGCCACATGACCACGGAAACGTCTTTGGACAGCGCTGGCTCTTCGACTTTGAAACGGAGATGAGCACCGCAACCCTAGAGTCGGACTCGACTGGCTTTCGAGCAAGGGAAACCTTTACCTTACTACTTGATTGGTTTATTCTAAAGTCCTGGTCGGCTATTGTTCTTATGTTCCAAGCTCAGCCAGTCTCTAGGGTGATTCAATCAGGAATGATTCAGTCCCAGTACATAACAACCATGTTCCCCATTATGGATAGTGTTGCATTTAAAGACTTCGGGAAAAGAATGTAAAAAGCCAGTGATTTTAAACTGAAACCGATTCTCAGTGTTCCCTTCCTTCTATTTCTTCTCTCTTCCTCTGACACGCTGCAGCGAGGAGGTTCCGCCCACAACTGCGGGAAGCTGAAGGTGGGCCACGTGATCCTGGAGGTGAACAGCATGACCCTACGGGGGAAGGAGCACCGTGAGGCGGCCCGCATCATCGCCGAGGCCTTTAAGTCGAAGGAGAAGGACTATGTCGATTTCCTGGTCACCGAATTCAACATCGCCCTTTAGGAACAGGACAGCGGGAGGCTCCGAAGCCGAGAGAGAGTGAGAAATGGGGTTTTGAGAGGGCTCTGACACGATGTGCATAGTCACGTGCGCATAGTCACGACACCCGGATAACTCCCATACGAAGGGACGCCGCCAGCACAAGACACGTGTGAAACAGGTTTGGGGTTGGTGTAGTGCTGGGGGCACTGTTCCTGCTAAGATACCCCACCACCGTCACCACCCTCAGACTCAAAATCCCGGCAGGAAAGTTTGGGGGAAGGACGAGGAAAAGAAAGGAGAGAGTGACTTTCTGATAAGGGTTCCCCCCATAGATCACCTTTGCCTGGTTGGCAAACCATGGTTCAATGCCCTCTGCCCCCTTTGTCCCTGTGTTAGAGTGACCGAGCCGGGCACCTATCTGAGAGCCCTGCCAGCCCATTTAAACATCCCCTTCCCCGCTGCCAGTCCATACAGAAGCACTTTGTGGATGCTACAGAGAACCAATGAACGGGGGGAGGAGCCATGCGTCGCCCCGCCCCCTGCTTCCAGAGTGCCGCTAGAGGAGGGAGTCGCCTCCAGGGGGCAGCACCTGTAAGGCCAGTGCCCTGAGCCCTTTGGGGGGCTTAATCTCTCCAGCCCACCTGGCCCGAGGTTCTTCCACTCCGCCTTCCCACCCATCCATCCAGCAATGGAGAATGCCTCGTCAATGGCCAGCAATGTTATCGTATTTATATATGAGAGAGCTTGAGCTTTTAATTTTTCAATAAAGCAAACATATTACAAAAGGCAAGTGGTGTTTATGTTGGTTTTTTTCGGTAGGAACGGGAATGCAAAGCCCGGGCAGATAGGGGTAGCTGGGACTCTATCAGAGGGATCTTTCTGCAGTGCACTCACTTAAAGAGCGGTGCTTTGAACTAGGATCCGGTGGTTTGAATCTTGCCGCTATCCCCAGCTCATTATTAGCACTTCCCCAAGCTTCACACTCTTGTGCTGGGCCTCCCGTCTGCAACATCACTATAATCCTACTATCCTGACATCCGTTGTACAGAGGATGCCCATGGGGTGCTTCCAACGTTCAAAAAGCCCTATTGGTGCTTGTGGTGGTGGAACGTCCCGTCAAGTTGCAGCCAGCTTATGGGCAACCCTGGCCCCAGTCCCACAGGCCGGATATCGCGGGGGGAGGCGTGGCTGTTTGCCCCGCAGCGAAATAACGCGCGACTGCACGATCAGGCATCCCCTCGCGGTCCCGTCAAGGTCCCGTGGTTAGGGGGGAGGTGCCAAAGAAGCGGCGCAGCGCGGCAAACGGGGTTGTGTTTTGTTTTTTTAATGAAGTATGCGCATGCCCCGTTGGGTGCTTATGCGCATCCCTGGAGACTTGGGGGGGAAACCTTTTCGTGATGGGGCATAGGCGGGTGCCAGATGCCACTGGAAACGCGATCAGACGCCCGCCCTTGCCCTGCGGTTTCCGGAAACTAGTACCTCCGAGGTACTAGTTTTTAACTGCGCATCTTCGGAGGGAAGCCTCGGGTTTGCCACAGGAGCTCTACACTTCCCAGATGTGGCAGTGAGATCGCGCCCAGAAAATCCACCTATCTTCCATCGCAGTAGCGTGGCTACTGCTCCGTGTGACCGCAGCTCCTGTTGGGTTTTCAAGGAAAGAGACGTTCACAGGTGAGTTGCCATTCCCTGCCTCTGTGCAGTGACCCTGGACTTCCTTGGTGGTGTCCAGTGTTCCCGCTAAGGTGAGTTCGTGTGAGCTAGCTCACAGTTTTTTAGCTTCCAGCTGACACATTTTTGTCTTAGCTCAGGAAGGATGGCTCCAGAGCAAACTAATTGATGCAATAGCCAAATGGGTGGGAGGGCCAGTTTGGTGTAGTGGTTAAGTGCGCGGACTCTAATCTGGGAGAACCGGGTTTGATTCCCCACTCCTCCACTTGCACCTGGCTGGATGACCTTGGGCAAGCTATAGTTCTGATAAGAGCTGTTCTTGTGAGAAAGAGCAGTTCCTGTCAGAGTTCTCTCAGCCCCACCTACCTCAAAGGGTGTTTGTTGTGGGGAGGGGAAGGGAAAGGAGTTTGTAAGCCACTCTGAGACACCTTTGGGTAGTGAAGAGCGGGGTATAAATCTAATCTCTCCTCTTCTTCTTCACAACTTTAATGCCAGTAGCTCACAAAGTAGAATTTTTGCTCACAAGACTCCACAGCTTAGAGGGAGCCTTGGTGGTCTCCCATCCAAGTTCTAACCAGGTCTGACCCTGCTTAGCTTCTGAGATCAGCCAAGATCAGGCTAGCCCGGGCTATCTGGTCAGGGCCTTCAGACGTCTCTCTTGACGCAAAATGGGAGATTGCCTCAGCGACCCCTAAAAGACTGCAGAGACCTCTGGGGCGATCTCCCAACTTGGTAAGCCACACCTTACCACAAGTAAGGTAAGTCACACAAATCTCTCGGCTGGGGGGGGGGAGCCTCAGGAGATGGCTGTGGGCCTCAGGAGTGTGTGGGCCTCAGGAGAGGTTCCACCATGCTGAGCCTCAATGCCAGTCATGATGAGCAACCTATTTTTTACGTGTGCTTACTCAGAAGCAAGTAATACCGAGTTCGTTGGAGCTTTCACCCAGAGAAAGGTTCGCAGGTTTGCAGCCATGTTAACTTATTGTGGGTAGCTAGTTAAGGCATACAGTGGCTTGGTTTTTAAATTAATAGTATGGTCCTTAACTCCCAAACCAAGTCACCATTTCTGTAACGAGATAACTACCTAGAAGCCCTCCAAAATAGGTATTTTTTACACATTTTTTGTGAAGGGTAACAAAGTCCTGACAGATTTAGGAAAGCTAATCCCTAAGGGGGTGGAGGGCCAACACAGAGAAAGCAAAGGCAGTTCCGGACTTTACCAATCAACAAGAAGGAAGGGGAAGAAACCACTGGTCTGAGGATTTATTTATTTATTTATTTATTTATTTATTATCATATGGCAGAGTTATACACAGGAAGCATATAATAATACAAAATATGTAACCAAGTCGATACAACAGGTATGCAGACCAATTGGGCAATCCCCCTAAATGCTAATATCTAGATTTTCAAGCCACTCAGTCCCAGCTAGGTTCAGAGAGCTCTGTCACATCACCCTGGAAAGCACAATGTTCACATTCCTGTAACAGATGGAAAATAGTTTGGCGGCCTACATCACCATCGCATTTGGGTCCTAGTATTTTGCCCTATTTAAACAACACGTCTGCACAGCTGCCGAAGCCCATTTGTATTCTATTAGCCATCTTCCATACCTTACATGGCAAGTAAAATCCTGCGGGCCTCTCATTGGTGTTTATCAGGTTGTGGATATCAGGTGGAACTGATAACATCCATGTTCCCAACCATTCATTCCCTAGATCGAAATTTTGTGATTGCGGGATTTGTGCAGATCTTCCTGCTGGGTGTCGAGATTTTAGTCTGGACAGGCTCGCATCGGCCATGTCTTTGTGGATAGGCAACTCTGTTTTCAATGATCTTTCTATATTCACAAAGAAGAGCATCTTGGCTTCGAAGATGTGGGGGAGTGACGTGGCACAACATCGGTAGCCAGTAGGCTGGAGTGGGTTTAATACAACTGCCGGTGCTTCTCATTCTTGTATTGAATTGGACATCAGGTTTGTGGATATGGAGGTTGTTGAGCCACACTGAAGCACCAGATTCTGTAGTACTGTACACCAACACCAAAGCTGATCATCTAAGTGTTGTAGCAGACGCACCCCAAGATGTACCACATAATTTTGGGAGAATGTTGTTTCACATGTGTATTTTCACTGCTACATTGGTAAGATGGTGTTTATACCTCAAGCTCCTGTCCAGGGAAAGGCCAAGCAATGTTCCCTCCAAGCTGAGTTAGTGTGAGCTAGCTCACAGCTTTTTAGCCTCCGGCTCACAGCTTTGTGTCTTAGCTCAGGAAGGATGGCTCCAGAGCAAACTAATTTATGCAGTAGCAGTAGCCAAATCGCTCACTCACAACTTTAATGTCAGTAGCTCACAAAGTGGAACTTGTGCTTGCAAGACTCCACAGTTTAGCAGGAACACTGATGCCAAGGTACTTAGGTGTATGGCTGTGTGTAAGTTGGGTGCCATTAAGGCAGACATTCAGTTCACGGTTGGCAAGATTGTTATTGAGACGGAAACAGGAGCATTCTGCTTATCCTGGACTTGGGATGACCACACAGGCTGGTAGGGATGTCCTAGTGGCCCCCGCGGTCTTGGCGTGCCCTCTGCTTGGCTGCGTTCTGCCCAGCTCATTTTGGAAAGCTCAATTCCAAAAGCAGGCTGGGAGACTGAGAAATGGCTAAGTCTAGCTACCAAGTCTGCAGCCGACAGGCAAGTAGCTCTCCAGTTTCAGGCCCAGAAAGATTTATTTCCCCGTAACATACAAGTTGAGGCCCTTCAAGTGGAAGGATTGAACAGGGTGCTCTGCTACTGAGAGACATCCCCTCCTGTAGGGTTGCCCACCTCCAGGCAGGGCCTGCAGATCTCCTGGAATGACTCCTGATCTCTTGGTGACAGAGATCAGTTCCCCTGCAGAAAATGTTTGCTTTGGAGGATGGGCTGCGTGGACTTATGCCGAGGGTTGTCAGCTCTGGGTTGGGAAATTCCTGGAGATTTTGGGGGTGGAGCTTGAGGAAGGTAGGGTTTTGGGAAGGGGAGGGATTTCAATGGGGTATAACACCATAGAGTTCACCTTCCAAAGCTGACATTTTATCCAGGTGAGCTGATCTCCATCACCTGGAAATCAGTCGTAATCCCAGGAGACCTCCAACCACCAGTGGGAGGTTGGTGGCCCTAATTTATACCCCACTGAGGTCCCTCCCCTTCCCAAGCTCCACCCCCAGATCTCCAGGAGTTTCCCACCCCAGACTTGGCAACCCTATCTCTCATCACCTGAACCAGCCAGATACCAATGGGCCATGTAGTTCCACATGGATGCTAGGATTTCAGTCAGAAAAGGATCTTTCCCAATCCCCACAACTTGCTATCTGACTCAGGGGTGTTGAACTCATTTCTTATGAGGGCTGGATCTGACATAAATGAGACCTTGTTGGGCTGGGCTGTGTGTGTCATAAAATGTAATGCCAGGTAGCAGAGATATAAACTTTATAAAGGACACAGACAAACACAATTAACTTTCACATTGTTTTCTTACTGAGATAGACTGGATCATGAGGGCATGAACACAATGAAAAGGGGGACAGAACCCAGTTGCACTCAGGAGAGCCTTGGCATAAGGAGCCCAACAGAATACAAACACACTGTAGGAAGGCACACAAAAGTTCATACCTTGAACAAAACTTTGTTGGTCTTAAAGGTGCCTGGTATTTTTGCCATTCGATTGAGGCACTCCAGCAAAGCAAACTCTCACTCATTCCCTTCCTCCCTGCCTCCCTTCAGGAAGGAGCCTCAGCCAGTGGAAGGAAAGAAAGGCTTCCCTTTGTCTCCTGAATACAATTGAGGCAACATTGCCAGGAACCCTAAACCTGGGAGGAGGAGGGGGAGGAGCCTCAGCCAGTGCTTTACCAGCCTCTCAATCGCACAGGAGAGGCTTGCCTATCTATCTCTCCTGTGTGATTGAGAGAGTCTGGTAAAGTAAGCTGTAATGTAGCAGCAGCAGCAAAACTGGAAAAGGAAGCAGGAAACAGCCAGGGCCTTACGGGCCAGATTGCAGCCCTCTG